TTCCTACCTCGTTAAAGGAAGACATATACTCACAAAACGATAGGGATGGTGTAACAAGAACTCACGGATGCTTGCATCAGAACCTAAAAATATACAGAACAGACGTGGACTAACAGATGCTACTAACGAGCTCACAGCAGCGAGCATTGCACTAAAATACCAAATCACAACGACCACTAGTTACCAACTATGGTCGGACGGAAGACTGCACGGTGACGTCATCGATCTGTACTGAAACCGTCTAACCGCGATTTTAGGGCAAATCGGTGGCGAAACTGTGCAATCTCGTGATTTGGATTGACCTAGGATAAACTACAACGTGACGCACACAGCTACAAAGACAACCCTGTTTTTTCGGAATTGGTTTTTCAGGGAAGACACACACATAAGTAAAATCAAACAAAAACTATAGACATACTCCATTGCCGATCTAGCAAGCCAGCCACAATAGATTCATAATGCTTATAGAAGCAAGGAGGTATCTTACCAGCACAAAATTAATAAATTAATGCAAATAATAACTCGGCTATGACATCGGCCATGGCCTAATCTCTTTTGTAGGTTAGAAGATGAAGCTTCCTGGTTTATTCAAGAAGTAATCTGACACAATATATTAAATGTATTAATAAAAAATTGTACATATATTATGTAGATAACAAAAATTTTTAATAAACGATTTTAAAAGTAAAAGTAAAAGCAAGCGCGAAATTTACATCCTGTGGAAATTACATCTAACGCTCTGCCTGTGGAATATAGTAAAAAATCTAAGACTTTACTAACGTACACAAGGACAACCCTGTTTTTTTTTTTAGCTTTTTCAGGGGACAAAAATCAACGCGACAAATCCCTACTCATTTCCCATTACCGATACCAAAAGAACCAAAATTCCTCAGTAATACCGATACGGTAAGAAATGAGGGCTGAAATACTTTCCAATAGAAATCAAAAATGATTAATATTGGTAGACATGTCCTCCTCGGTCCTTTGGACCTGCACGAAAGGATCATATTTCGGTAGTGTTGTATACACTAATTAGTTTTGACATGTTGATAACTTTTAATATGTAAATAATATTCTTCTAGTCTAGTCAGGTGGTTTATAGCCCATCCTCTCAGTGAATTATGAAAAAAAACCACAGACAAGTACAATACCACACTCCTCGAACGACAACCCTGTTTTTTCTAGCTTTTTCAGGGGTCAACACGACAAACCTACAAGCACTCGACTAGAATCTTCCTGAATCCCTTAATAATACCCCAAGTGTAAGGAGTATAACAGACGAAGGTATCATATTAGGCATTACAAGTTTACTAATAAGGTTACATACTTGTACTGTGTACACGGAAAAAAATGTGACTAGAAAATTTTACTACAATGTTGTAGTAGTAGACTTGTAGAAAAATACTTAACAATTTGTAGAAAATTTTACTACAATTTATAGTTAAAAACTATTAATTATTGTAGCAATTGAATTGTCGAATAAAATGCTACAACAATAGGAAAGAATTCCACAATGTTTAGTATATTTTACTATTGTTTGTAGAAGTAGAAATTTATTACAATTATCGTAATTACTACTACTAACTTCTGTAAAAATTTGTACAAATATTAATAATTATCTCTACAAAAAATAGTAATTTTCTCTACAAAAAATAGTAATTTTCTCTACAAAAAATAGTAATACTTTACATCCCTTCTTCAAAAATATTCTATAATATTGTAGAAATTCTAAGTCATGTGAACAAAACAGAATTCTGCTATTGGCCAACGTTTTCTGACCACGATCATAAACGGCCAGACAGCAGTAGCCGTTCGCCATGTTCACATAACAAAGCATGGTACATATACGAGTACCTATAACACATTATTATATTATAAGCACCGATGCGTTTGAGAAAATTTTAATAATAAATTCTATTGGTGGTAAGTACATTTATTATTGTTTCTGAATAATTCACCTTTAGATAACTAATTTAAATAACCTTAGTAGATTATTTTAAAAAAATAGTTGTGGCCAACGATCGAATTTTGTGCCAAGTTCAATGATGTTTTTTGTCTTAATTGTGACATACCTACTTTCTCATTTTTGTTAGTTATCTGACTTAGTCATTTAATATCCAAATCAGTGTAAAGGTGATAAATATCCCCGTTTTAAGGGTATGAACAATTATTAATTTTTATTTCATGTTTTTCAGGTGCAGAAAAGCCAACTGAGACTGAGGGCGCTATTATTACTGTTATTTATTACATAATGTAATTAAGAATTTGTATCTTTTATATTAAAACAATAAATTGAATATTTTATTGAGGAACATTTTTTCTAGGTTATAATTATAATAATTATGGAATACTATTACAAATTTTATTAAAAATTACTACAATTTGTATGAATTTTTACTATTTATTGTGGTAAATTTTCGTATTTATTTTCATAAAACGCAATACATTTTTAATATAAATTCATACAATGAATAGCAAAAATTATAACAATTTGTAGAACAATTCTTATGATGCATTTGAATCTTTTTACTAAATATTGTAGATAATAACTCTACAATACATTCTCCACAAATATTTGGAAATTTTTACTACAAATTGTCCCTGTCCCTATATGTACTATTTATTGTAGAGAAAATATCTACAATTGTAGAAATTTTTTCTACAATTTTTTTTCAGTGTACAGTATGTTTTTATAATATGTTGATGTATTGTATATTGTAAATTTTTAACTGAGAAATAAATGTTTAAACCTAAAAACCGACGAAGAGTCTATGTCTAATTAAGTCCCATGTTTATGTTACTAGTCCTGTGTGTAAAGTGTTAGAGCCATATACAGGCACCCGTGCCTTCTATGTGCACTGTTTCCTGCATTGATGTTAATTATGTCTGCCGGCAGACAATTTCGGTAGAATTTCTCAGATGTTTTTATTATATGTCCACTAATAGTAGGCATGAATGTCATTGCGTGTATGTCAGTGATTCTGGAGTAACGGGTCCACCCCAGAGCCAGCCGCAGACACTTGCTTTGGTTACACTGATGATGGCAAATAAGCCGAAAGCGCTTTGCATTGATTAATAAAAAAGTTTTGCACGAAATACAAGTTTTTCCTTTTCAATCTAAACAACGTGCACACAGCTGTCAACCTTTTTTGGTTATTTTAAACTTGCTTTGTATTCTATGCAGTTTATCAAAGTGAGCTTTTGCTTTGAATAGGAAACTGGACATCCATATGTCAATTCTGGCCTGATTACCTGTTTATCTCTTTTTGTATCTATTATTTGATTTTTTACCTTTAGTTTTTGATTTATATATTCTGATTTTCTTTTAGTTATGACTATGCTTTCTGTTTTTTTGGTGTTTAATTTCATTTTATTTAACTGTAGGTAGGGGACTAACGTTCTATTGATATGTATGTCTAGTCTTCTGATCTCTTATGTTTGCTGAAGTGGATATTTTATACACACAAGGGTAATCGGTGTACAGCGCCGTCTGTATACCGTTAGTACCCATGGGCATATCATGGGTCATAATCGTTTACAGATGCATCGTAAGTACCCTATGGTACCCCCGCTACTGCATTGTATGGTTCAGTTCTGATTTTATTAATTTTTAGGTAGAAAATTCTATCTTGCAAGTAGGATTGCACCATTTTTACAATGTAAGTGGGATAATAATCTACAAACATTTTGTATATTACCCACAGGTCCATACAGTGTCGAACGCTTTTTCGGTATCTAAAGGTACCAGTACGTGCTTTATGTCGTTGAATGCTTCTTTAGCCTGATGGGCTAGTCTTATGACTTGAGCGACCGTACTGTGCTCTTCACGGAATCCGTACTGTTCCTGTGGGATAATATTTTTATTAAAAATTAAAAATGATATTAAAAAATGTCTAAAACCGTTTCTAAGATACGAAGGTCTTAACGATTTAAGGATTTAAAGACACTACATAACTGAAACTAAAATTTAAAAAAAATGGTATATTCAATTTGAAATAAACTATGTTTAATTAATTAATTAGGCATTTAGTTAGTTTAGCAAATGCTCAAAATTATTTCCAATATTGACAAAAGTAAGGTCTATTTCCTAATTTACGGCGAACATTGGTAAATTTTCATTAGGAATATTACAGCATGCCTGCACAATTATTTGTTGAAATTCCTCAATTATGACGGGTTAGGTTTGGGTCACCATTGATTTGAGATACCCTTACAAAAATTCAGTGGTACTAAATATGGCGATCTAGATGACCTCTTCTCCCAAGCTTCTTATTAGTTCCACACTCAACTACAGTGTGATACGTTGTTGAAAAATATTCAAAGAAACACTCGATCATTGTCGGATTGGGACCTCTACCGGCCAGAAAGGAAAAGAGCCTTTCTATCAATACAACATTTTTAATGTTCTTGCGAAAAAAATGTTAAATTTTAAATGTTAAAATATAAACTATTAGACACCTCCGTTTTGTAAAAATGTCGAACTGATGGTCGACATCAGGACGGCCAATAGCAGCTTTCTGATTTATTTACAAGACACATTTCTACAAGAGATGAAAAGTATTACTATTTTGTGTAGAGAAATTACTAATATTTGTACAAAAGTAAGTTAGAAGTAATTACGATAGTTGTAATAAATTTCGACAACAATCAGTAGTAAAATATATAAACATTGACTTTTGCCTTCCTCGACAATTTAATTGCTACAAATTTTGAACTATTTATTATAAAAGGATATGCTACCAAAAGTTAGGTATATTTATATAAGTCTATTACTACAATATTTTGGAATAGAAATATAGATTTTCGAATGAAAAAGGTCTAGATAATGATGGTGATGATGATGATGCCGATAATGATGATGATGATGATGATTATGATGGTGATGAGATGATGGTGACATATTTAGATGCTTTAATAAAAATGGCAATATCTTACATTGGGAGTTATATCAGTTTTATATAACTGTAGTTATTTTATATTCTTTATTACTTATTTTTCAGATCTATCTCTACCAGGATGATTGCCGGAATGTGGTGGTTTTTTACTCTCCTAATGGTTTCCTCCTACACTGCAAGTTTGGCTTCCTTTTTGACCACTGAAAAACCAGATCCTCATTTTGAAAATCTCCATGAACTTGTTGAAAATGCTGAGGCGAAACATATCAGAATAGGTGCTAAAGACGGTGGAGCAACAGAATCATTTTTCAAGGTAACATTTCGAATATTTTTTTTGCAAAATATTTTAGTGGCTATGATTGAATTTGTTTTCAGGATAAATATGCGGCTGACGAAAACGGTGATTTTGGCAAAGCCTATAAATTAATGATGAAAAGCAGAGAATTCCTAAAAATCAAAGAAAACAAAGACGGCGTAGCTGAAGCTCAAAAAGGATATTATGCTTTTTTCATGGAAGACCAATCTATTGAATATGAAACTCAAAGGAAATGTGACCTAACTCAAGTTGGAAACAAATTAGATGAGAAGGGATATGGTATTGCTATGAGAAAAAGTACGTTTCAAATAGAGTTATTTGTAAATTAATTTACATTTGAAAAAGCACAATTATTTGAAATAAAATTTTAATTTATATAGATTTCTTAAATCAGTTTTGGGCAGGCAGTTTCTAGGACGATCAACTCGTAGCCTTTCGCTGTTGAAGATTGGAACGTATTTTTATCGGATAATACAACGTTGTTCCAAATAAAATTTGTGGACACCCGCGCCATTTTTTAAGCCAGCTTGTTTTAAACGCATTTGAGCTGTTCAGAAAGATTCTGGAAATAATGTTTCTTGTCGCGCTTTTACAGCGGTTCCATAAGGTCTCTTCCCTACACCTTGCCTAAAAGGTCTTCGCAATCTTGGTCCTTCTTAGCAGCGTTTCTTATACTCGAATTATATACATTTTTTACTGACATTTAATTTAGCAACTACATCACTTAAATACCAATGTTTGTTTAGGTTTGCTATAGCACTTGACTTTTAGCCTCAGAATCTTTCAGCATTTTTGAAAATTTATTTGAGAATAATTTTGACGTTCGCATTTGGGTTTCGTCAACTGTACATAGTCAGTGTCCAGTGGATGTCGAGTATTATTAAAATTTTGTACGGCATACAAGTTGTTTTTCATCATTTATAGGCTTTTTATACAGGTAAGGAAATTTAAGCGCAAAAATATTTAAACTAAATCTATTAGAAAGGAGCTAAAGTGGGTTGATGAGGTAGCAAACGCATCCCTGAGCGAACCTGGCGACATCCTCTTGTATCTAGCCTTGTCATCGCATGTGGGGCTCTGCGTCGGTTGATCTTTCCTTACCAAAAAACAATTCAAAGAGGCCGGACGCCAAAGCTCTCCTCCAGCAAAGGAGACTGGACACCAAAGTCCAACTCCGGCGCAGGAGGCTGGACAACGACGATCACCTCAAAAAAAGAAGGATGGACGTCAACGCTCACCTCCTGCGAAGAAGCCCGGACAACAAAGTTTAGCTCCCGCACAGGAGGCTGGACAGCGACGCCCACCTTCAAAAAAGGAGGATGGACACTGTAGTTCACCTCCAACTAACAGGCCTCGGAGATGCAAGAGACTCTATGGGTCTGAAGCAAAGAGAAGGAAGAGGGACAAGCTGTAGGCAGGCAGTGCTGCGGCAACCCTCACTCCAAACAATAAAAGCGGCTTAATCAAGTCCCTAGACAGCGACGCTAGTTCTGCCTCCACAAGAAGTCAGAAACTCGACGCAACTAGGAACAAGAAAGGGCCTCGATCTCACACCTCTTCCGAGGTACCGCCCTAAAAGGGGAAAACCCAGACAGGACCATACAGTTCTATCTGGGATAAGCTACAAGGATACCTTTGTTCCCTGTTGTTATAAGCATAGTCCGATTATATCTTGTCTAACTTATTATAAAATACATGGCATTCTTTTAAATTTCCGTATTAAAATTGATTGATTTTAAAAATGATTTATTCCTATCTCTAAATGGTACTTTATTTTAGATTCTACATATCGAAATAGTTTAAGTACAGGAATTTTGAAATTACAAAATAACGGAAAGCTGGCAGAACTGAAAAGAAAATGGTGGGAAGAACGCAAAGGAGGGGGTCAGTGTTATGTAAGTACAAAAATCAATATAGTGTTATTTTGTTAAATAGATACAAGTGAACAAAAAAAATGGATTTTTAATAAATTACGCAGGTTGGCCCTTACAATTATTCTACTTCGTTTTCTTTAAATAATAATAATAATTTGGATTTTATTCATAGGCGCATGTAGATAACTCAGTCATTTATCTCTTTTTATGGTCGTGGCCTAGTATTTAGAACAGATATTCTGAAAAAAATCCTATTTTAATTTGCTGTCTTTAGCACAGCCTACTTATGTTCGTATGAGTGAATTTAGGTGATTGATATCTTCCATTTATTTGTTGTTTTTCAAAATGAGTAGTCATTATCTTTGTAGTTTATTAGTTTACGATGATTACAAATAATTTGTTAGTTCTGTATCTCTCTTTTTAGTTCTTGAGTAAGTCTAATGTACTTTCTAATCTTTATTTTCAAAACTTCTGATTTTCTGTCAACTTCTTCTGAATTTACTGTTTTTCTGCAACTAAGTACCGAATTTCTTTTGGATAGTATTTTTACATATTAATATTTATATTATTACAACAAAATTTGAATTATATCAAAATTTCTCTACGAATATATAACTCAATCACGTTTAGATAAAAGAGACCGGAGATGTAACATTGCACATCGCGCACGTTGTCTATTCCAACCCTAAGTAACCCACCAATTAAAAATCATTGTGTTCACGACGCCACCCGAATTGCTCCGAAATTTCTATTCCATGCTTGTCTCCGCGTGAGTAAATCATTTATGGACCGCCGTTTTTTGAATTACTTGTTGGTGTTATTAGCAATTTAAAGTGTTTTAGCTATTCAATTTCAAGTTGAAAATGCCACGATGTATGGTGAAAAATTGTATATACAAATAATATAAGTGTCAATGTTATGAAAATAAATATATTCGTTTTCAGCGGTAAATATTTATTGACGTTTTGACATAAAGTCACCATGATTCTTTGAGCTGAATACTTCAGATCCACATTAAGGGGTTTCAATAAATATTAAACATCAAATACATAATATTTCAGAAAATAGATTTCATAATGCATTAATGTACAAAAGAGTAAAATTTTAAACATTTAATCTAAATAAGAAGTAAATAGGCATTGTTACTAACGAAATTTTGTTTTTAAAAAGTAGTTTTATAAGAATATTTACTAAAGGTGGTTTTTAGCCCTTTATTAGGTATTTTTACAAGAATATTAGATGAAATACAGGTTCACCTACTTAAAATTTCAAGGTTCATTTTATTTGCGGTTAAATCAGAAGTGACATTTGAATCTTAAAAGTCTTAAAACAAAGTAAAACGCGTACCTAATATGATCTAGTATAAGCAAAAAAATACTAAAGTTACAGAAATTAGTCATATTATTAGTAAAATGTTACATTATAAACCCCGAAATAACTCGAAAAAAATCTTCGTTTACTAAAAAAATCTAAATTCTAGTAATATTTATTATACAATCGAATGCGAGTTCAAAGATAACAGGATCAATAAATCCTAATCTCTAAATTTAAGAGCTAAATGCTCGGATAAAAGCATGCACCGATAGAGGTTACAAAAATAATCGATTTATCGTTTTCATGAAAATCGATTTATCCGTTATAATTAATCGATTATTTTCGATTATTCATACATTTTCAATAAATTATTTTCGTTTTTAGGTAATGGAATAATCGATTATAAAGGAATTACAAAAAGAGTAGATTTATTCAAAATAATCGATTTTTTTAGAAAAATCGATTTATTGTTTAATCGACTTTTTAAATTACTCGATTATTTTCGATTTACTGAATATTTTCGATTAATCGATTATTTTCGATTAAACGATTATTTTTGATTTTTCAAAGGTATTCGAATAATAAGTTTTAAAATATAAAAAATAGATTATATAAAAATCATCGATTGTCGAATATAATCGGTTGTATTATATAATCGATATTTCGGTTATTTTTTAGAATTATCAATTTATCGGTCAATCAGCTTTTTATTAATCGATTTTCGATTTTTCAAAGGTATTCAAATAAATACGAAAAAAATAGATTATATGAAAATAATCGATTGATCGAATATAATCGGTTATTTTATATAATAGATATTTCGGTTATTTTTTAGAATTATCGATTTATCGATCAATCAGCTTTTTATTAATTGATTATGTTCGATTTTTCAAAGATAAATAAATAATCAATTTTAAATGAAATATGAAAACAAAAGGATTATTTAAAAATAATCGATAATTCAGTTATTTTGATCGAATAATTGATTTTAAAGGAAATAATTTTTTTTTTAAAAAATTGATTTATCGATTATTCGACTTTTTAATTAATCGATTATTTTCAATTAATCGATTATTTTAGATTTTTTAAAGATTATCGAATCTGTTTCAATGGAAATACGAAAAAAAATAGATTATTTAAAAATAATCGATTATTTAAAATAAACGATAATTCGTTTATTATTTTTTGTAAACATTGATTTATCGGTTGATTGGCTTTTTAATTAATCTAATATTTTTGATTTTTCAAAGATAATCAAGTTGTCGATTTTAAAGGAATTACGAACAAAAATAGATTGTTTGAAAATAATCGATTAATGATCAATAATTTATTTCGATAATCACCCACTCCTAGCGACCAAATCACTTTTAATAGGTTTACATTTTAAAATGTTATCTGGTTTCAGACATATGAATTTCTAGAGTTTTATGAGACTCATCCTTTATATTAATTAATATTCCTAAAGAAACAAGCTTTTTTATATCTTTTTCTAAGGTTATATTACAAAACAGCATTTTCTCATTTGGATTAATTTTTAATATTATGTGATAGTCGTAGAAAAAATATAATGTTCAACTCACAAGGTTTGATTTGCAGTATTCGCCTGCGCAAATGCTTTTTTTATAATACTCTTAGACAATGAGTACCATTTCTTATTCGATTAACAATATTCTATTTCAACATTTTACTGTAGTCTCTAACAGAAAAGGCCGTAGTAAATAAAAGCTAACTAAATATTCTATAAAATGTCTTCTCTTTACATAAAATGTCGTGGCATATGTTTGATATTAAAAATAACGTAAAATTTATTTCCTAATACAAAATTCCATTAAACGTATATTTGAAATAAATCTAATAGTTCATTATGATGCTAATAAACAAAGTCCGGTCTCTGTCACAGAGTTCGGGTCCCTGCCCAGTTCCCCTACTCCGTTAACCTTTCTTTAGAGATTGGCAACATTTGCGCATGTTAAACACCGGTGTATGTTATATCTCTTTTATCTAAGCTTGTCACGTTGTAGTTTTTATGTTATACCCTTATAATATACGAGCGTCATTTTTTCAACTTTCCGAAACCTTGTTTAATGCTTTTTGGTGAACATTTTGAGGTAAACAACCATATGAGATTGTCCTCATTTCCTCTATATTCCATAATATTTACATATGTGTGAGCAATATATATTACCATAAACATCATTGGTGTGATCTGATAACTTTCGGCGATATAAAATTGCAATTATACATTTTGATAAATAGTTATATTTCTCCTTACCTCTACACTCCATAATTCGGAAATTTACTAAAGTCTGATGGATCCAAATATGGGTGGTAGGATACATGGAGCAGTAATTCAAAGCCAAATTGATTAATATTAGCCATCACAATATTTGTCACGACGTTAGGACAAAACTTTTTTTTCGATTATCCAGGCATATTTTCCAAAATTGTATGTTGCTGCTAATCACGCAAGTCAGCACAATATCCGAGAATTAAAACCAAGAAGCGACAAAGCCGTTCCCACAAAAAAAAAAATGGAGTGGGAGTTAACCCGGCCAACTCTCATTTTAATTTTAACACGGTTGCCACATATATAACTTGCCAGTTTACCTAATTTAGTAGTGATTTTTGCTATTTACCGATTTGTTTTCGAGTTAAAAATATATTTTATTTATATGAAAATGTGTTTTATTTGCTATTTGAAAAACTGACAATTCACCTCATCCGTTATTCGACAATTTTACAATACTAATGCTCGAAAAAAGCGCGGAATTTTTGAATCTAGTGATTTTCAATATAACCTACTTTTTATTTCTCTCTTATCCTCGCCTTATAACTGGGGTGGGATTCCGTTTTGTGTCGAGTAACTTGATTTCGATACGATTCATAATTCGATCGAATTATGATAAGCAATTCTATCTGTTTTGACTTCGGAAATCTTCGTCTCGGATTTGATATCAAACTCCATAATTGCAATTCCGTTCAACGAAATTCGACAATAAACTCGATAAAATAACTCGATAGCTCTAGAGTAGTCGATTCGATATCAAATCATTAAAGTTAAATTTTTTTGACATTAGGTATGAACCTTTCCTGCAGCAATGTGCCTTTTCTAAATAACCTCTCCTGCATTAAGGGCCTTATTTTCTCTATTAGGTATATACGGGGTCATTATACTATTTCATAGGGACAGTATCTGTATCTTTAACGTGTGAAGAGTGGGTTAACTCATGGCACTTAGGCCTCACTAGGCTCATTGTGCAACCTCCCAATTAGATAGGTACCTACTAGCTCGTGAGCCAGGGACAGTATTGCTATTTCTTAAACGGTACCAAATAGAAAAATGATTGAATTTGATAAAAGTTGCGCAGTTTTGTGCTTATTAAAATGGTGCCAGAAAAAATTTGATATCTACAAAGAAATTCAAAATATCTGACAAAAAACGAATGAATGAATTTAAAGAAATTAAAATTTTTATTTTTTGTCCGATATTTTAAATCTCCCTCTAGATATCAAAGGTTTCTTGGCACCATTTTATTAAGCACAAAACTGCGTAATTTTTGTCTAATTTAACCAACCTTCTATCTGTTAGCGTTTAAGAAATATTAACACTCTCCCTATGAAATAGTAGGGACTCTGTATACTACTTGAAACATCAATAAGAGGATTTATTAATTACATAAAACGCTATAAAATATAAACTAATAAAG